CGGCGACCCTTACAGCCATTGCGGAAAACTGCGCATTCCAATTGGCGCCACCTCTCCATGCTTAAAGCTCACAAACCTTGAGCACACAAACGTTTTTGGCAGACTCATTTAGCAGTAATGATTTCTAAATTTGCAAAGCACTTCATTCTCTACCGATACACCTAGGTCTCTATTCTAGAACAGTATTCTCTGTTAAACCGTAGGGGTTGAATTCCTCCAATGTTTAGAACTCTCTGAAAAAAAGCTCTTGTGAAAGCGTGGGACTAATCTCGCCGGAAGTCCCGGAAGTAATTGCGCGCATTCTCGAAATTTTGCGGAAGAGGCTGGATGCTTGCGTTAAAGCGAAAGGCGCTTACTCTGGCGTCAAAGCGAAATGCGGTTACTCTGAATATGATATGTGACATATTGTTTACAATTTTCCCTTCTGTTGACCGAGTAGATGTAGATATTTTCTATTTGAATTGATATGAACAACTTTGTTATTTATTTGTTGTGTCATACTCCATTTGGGCGAGATTGTATATTAGGCCATCTCACTCGAGAGTTTGCAAGTTTTTTTTTTTGGAAAAATTAGCAGCAAAGGAGGTAGGAAGCTAATGTGCTAAAACAGCAAAGTACGCCCCATTGTTGTCAGTGGCCAACTCCCAGCGTCCAGAAAGCATCTGGGCACTAAAGTGACCGGCCCACTATCGAGGAACCAGTGATCGCCACTGACATGTCACTCAGTTGATCGGAACAATTGGAGCGCCCAATTGACCATAACCACGTTTATTTGCTACCGACATGACGCTAGTATTCCCGCGGATTACACGGATAAATCAGGATCGGGACATTGTTACCGAAACACCACAACAACCAATAGGTTGGAGTTGCAAAGCGTTTCCTTCGATCAGCAACTACCAACGGATAGTTGGAGTGACACTCAGGTGAATCGCACCGTTCGTTGTCGACAGCTACCCACAGGTAGTTAGACTGTTTTCTTTCAATCAAGTGCTCCACAAGCTTTACTCCACAGCTGACACTGTGTAACTGAGTTAGTCTTCCTGTGTTTGGACTCAGCTGCTTTCAACCGTCTTGTACGGGATGGAGAGCTTTGTTGTACAACTGGCTGTCTCGTTTGAGGCGGCTTGGCCCCCATGTAACGAAACGACGTACGTAAACAGAAAATAATTATGGCCGATCTTCAATGGGAGACAGCAGCAGAGGCAACAAAACACTTTATCACGAACGAACGGCGCAATAAAGAATCAAAAAGGAAATCAAATTACAAAAAAAAAAACGGTGTAGTGCCGCAAACACGACTAAGAGATTGCGTAGTGGTAGTGATGACGGCTTATGCATACCTCAGCAAGAATAGCCCAACTTCTCCAGCCTCTTGAGGTAGGACATTAGAATAGGGATCGCAGAAGCAAAAAGAATCAGAAAGAATAGAAGAATGGGAGAAAACATCGTCTCATCACTCGGCGATCAGCTGATTGTGTGTGAGTCCTAGATCGAATATTGCAATCTGTATCGCTTCGACACTCGCCTGAGTGGCATCGATCAAGGAGTGGGAAATCCGGGCGATCCAGTAACGGGGCTCCAACTAGCTGTTGAGTTTTGGGACCCGACAGCGTCCTTCCTTTACCTTTCGGAGGCCACTGGGTATTCCTGGTGCGATAACTCGGAAACTATTTTCATCGTAAACTGTGCCTTTGAAGCAGAGCTGATAGAACAAGCATATTCCTTATCTAACCGCTTTTCAAATATCTGTGCACTTTTGAATGAGATAACCCAATATGTTAAGGAGCAACTGCGACTCACGCGCGACCTCACCAGACTTCTTCTTCACGTTCTAAATATAACTTCGAAATGTTTGATTCTTATAAACCTAAACCTTCTGCGAACGTGTATAGTTGATTCTTTTTTTGAATTGCCTTTTAAAGGTTTCTAGTCTTTCCATTATGGTGGTAGGCTTGATGTTATGGCGCGTCCCTTTTACGGCACCACACCGCAGCACGACCCGCCCTTCTTGCAAGATATCTTCGCGATAATATTCATAATATCTTCGCGCGTGAATCGCAACATACCCTATCTCAAGCTATCACAGCAGAGAATATTCGCAGCAACTCCTTCGATGCGGTGACGGCCTTTAAAAAAACGAACACAAAAAACTGAACATAATGTTTGAATCAATAGGTCATTTCATTGGAAAAAGCGCAGCCATTGAGTGAGAGAGGTGAAAGGGAAGATGCTGGCCCGACCAACGAAGTTTTGATTATTGAAAGCCAGTTTATTTAACGACGTCACAACCCAATTTCATCAACATGCCTCAACATTTGCGAGGTACGACGTTATCTAAACATATTGAACAAATTGGGTGCTCATATTCATGGAAGGGAAAATGGATACAAGAAAAGATCAAATAATGCTCACAATACTCATTCACTCTGCCCATGAAAAACGGGAAGATGAAATCAAACGTCAAACGGTGAAGCGCAAATAGTAGATCACTGTCGAATTTCCTGGCGAGAAGGGCATCTCCGCTGATACCATAGGTGTTAGGGAGCAGAAAAACAACTTATGTAATCGAACTCTGAACTCGGGCTCCCGCTGCTGTTTGAGCAGGAATTCACCATATATAAATAGCATCGCGGTCGCTCACCTGATCGTCTTTTTCGGACCTTCTTCGAGTGGACTGACCCCGACGAACTACTAATCGCCATCATCCGCTCCTCGCCCGATCTTCAACTGTGCTATTATTCTTCTGTGTGACTGATCTCATCTGCCATTTCAGCTACTCCCACACCTAGAGACATCACCGCAACGCGCCTCGCACTGGAGAGGAATCCTGTGAACGCTGCCCAGTTCAAGCTTGGTTCCGAGGAAAAAGCTCGTTCACCGCAACTTAGGCGGTATTGTTTGCAATGAACAGAGGACGGTCGGAGAGAAATGTCAGAAGGCCCTTTGGTTTCTTGCAGAAGAAGATGCTTGAAACTGAAAAGATGTTTGTATTGACCGAAATCACTCGACACTTCTAAAACGAAAGCTGGCTGCAGGCGAAACTTGGGTGGGTTAACACACTGAACTCAAAAGTTTAAACTGATGATATATTACGCCAAACGTTGCATCAACGCTAATTCACTACCAAAGAATTCAACCCTGCTAGGCCTGAGGAAAAAGTTCCGGACCGAGACTGACCTCAAGTTACGCAGGATATTTAGGATGCATGTTGCAGTGAGGGGGGGGGGGGGTGTTTTGGGTATGATTCGTTCTTTGTCGAGCCGAAGTGCACACATGGAGCAATGAAACATCCTCATTCGATCCAACTATAACCCTCGAAATCGAATTAACGAAGGCTTATAAAAAAGGAAGTTATAGATACAATCAAACTTTCGTATTGCTAACAATATCGAAATTTTAAGGATACGAATGGCTCAATCCATGTTTAGAAAATTCTTAATTCCAGATCCTAATCAAAATATTCCATGCGTTACCAGCAAGGCATAAGCTACCGGCATGCGAATCTCAGTAAGAGTATTGAACCATTTCGCACCACGTCGAACCGTACAATTTGCCGTAATACACAGTAACCACAGAGTCATCTAGAACGTGAGTAGACTTTTTACACATTGGCATACGACGTAGATTTTTCAAATTGAGTTTCGATGGCTCACAGGTATCACGTGAGTGCGATTGGGCTGAAACGTCACATTTTTGACACGATTCCTTTCAATGATAACGATTAATGCTTTTGCTCTTTTCCCAATAAGTTATATTCGATAGTGAAGTGAAACGGCAGCGGTAGTAACGGCGGCACTCCACTGACTTGCGATTAGTATAATAATACTTATATAATGGTATTATAGTGAATTTATTGCTGTGGCGCATCAATCAATAAAAATGATCGTTGAAGGAGTTGGCACAGCAATATAAATAGTAGATCCATTCCCAAATTCAAAAAGAAAGCCCGAAGAACAATCTTTGTAGGACTACGACGCGCAAATTCTCTGGCACAGAATCGTGCAGTACATTTCCTCCAGCGTGCGTCACACTTGTTCTCCGGTTTCGAGGGCGCTTGATTTGCCGCCTGTAAAGACCCACAGGCGAAGACGCAATGAACAAAAGACAGGTTCTTTGGCGAGTTTGGCAAAGCAAAGGCAAAAATCGATCCGTTCATCGATTCAGCTCCCGGCGGGCCTTGAAGGGTACGACAAACCAGTGTGAAAACTTTTCAATTTTCTTTTTTTTTCTACAAAATTGACACATTCACGTATGTATTGTACCTCTATTCTGTTAAGGAAAGTTCTCTAGTTCACAGCCGGTCTCCTCTATTGCCGCCCACAATCGACGTGTGTAGGCTGAAGGTCACTGATTGGTGGTTAAGGCCTCCAGCCGCAACTCTTAACCACCAATCAGTGAACCTTTAGCCTACACGTCGACTGCGTTATATGACCTGAAAAAATCCAACTAGTGTTTGATAGCCATGCCTTGCACATCACCCTAGCCTTTGAGCAACGTTGCCTAGCAAGGTACCGTCATTCAAGTTGACAATGCGAATCCTTCGTCGATATCATCGTCTGACGGTGAGACGACATTTTAACTTAGGAACGCTTATAACGGTAGTGGTTGACGGACCCACGACAAGCGACCCTCTGTTCTAAATCCAACAACGATAAGAGGCATGGTGTGGGTTTGTTCGAGCCATGAAGAGCCATCTGATATTGGCCCGTTCTATTCTAGCGAAAATATCCACGAAGAAACCACTAAAGCACCCTACAGCCTCACCCTCTAGATAAATGCAAGCAAATACCTACCAATATCATATGGCGAGCCATGAACGAGCGCCTCTTCCGAGTAGAAAGTCCATAATCGGAGTGCCGCAATCGAAAACGCGGGAATTAGAGACCGCTCACTTTCGGGTGAATACAGAAGATTATGAAAGATTGTACTATGACACGTTCTTTCCTAAATATAGACTCGGTACTAGATTGAGAACATTTTTGCATGCATTCTATTCATCATACCTTGATGTACAGCCAGATGCATCCCCGACGACCTTCTTCAGTATCAGGAACGAGATGTTCGAGATGAACGCGCTCGCATTCACAATCCATTACAAAAGTACGGAAGAATGCTGACTGGCTATGGTAGGCGAGAAAACGCAAATAAAAGTCATTGAATTCGAATGCACACGGGAACTGAGCCGAAATCTGGAACTCTGAGTCTGGAAATCTGGATGTAGAGTCGAGATAATGCAGATATTGAGAAATCTTATAAGTTCCCGTTCTGCCACACCTGATGTACTGCATCCAAAAATAGGAGGAAAACCGGTGTTATCCCGCTATTTTGAGAAGAAATCGCATGGTTTGCGCGATGAGAAAAACGATGACCAAAAGCCAGCCATTCCTTCTCGATAAGCATCTAAATGATTTTCAAAGATGAAAGGCTATGATGGCATACGGTCGCAAAAAGACGAGCAGATAAAAAGGGATCTTCGCACTTGGAAGCCTTCGATGGTACGATAATATGGATCAAGCAAGAGCTGAGCTAGTGACATCAACTGACACGTTGTGTCCCATCCTTCCTCAACACAAATGGCAACCTTAACACTACCTCATCAACTTCGAATTATATTTTTCATTCCAGCAAAGGAACAATTGCGAAGGTACGTTAGCAAAAAAAAGGTAAGAATAAATATGATCTGAAAAATACCGAGGAGTTGTGAAGGGTAACGACACTTGTAATCGAAGATGCCAGCGACAAAAGATTTGACACCTAGATCAAATTACTTGAAGATACAATAACCGAGACATGTGAATTCAATAAGTGCTAATGCTCAAGAAACGAAATACTCGAGGTATCATCCATGGATCATCCAGTCTTCCATAGCTCACAACACGAGTAAGAAGATTCCTCTCACAAGGAAAGGGTACTTGGTCGCAGTGTTGATTCAAGATGAGATGTATATCGCCGTAGGTATTTTCGGACGTTGATCACAAATCTGCGTTCAAAATCTTCTAAACGATTCAGAGAATGAAGCTACTAACTGTTTTCCCCCTTGTTGTACTGCTGTTCTGTTTGAACACATAAATGAACCGTGCGATCCGCTGTACTGCGAGGGCGCAGTAGGTAGTGTGAGGGACTCACAAGCATGACATGAAAGATCAACTCCTTGATGCATGCGCTCACTTTGCTTTTTAATAAAACGCATCCTAAAAACTTGCAAGACATTTGTACGCTTTATAACGACTGTAATTAAAGAGTTTTACCGCGCTCTACTTTTCACCTTGCGCCGGGCAACAATTTGGTAACACCATCTTGAGTGTTCAGGTCGCATACCGACTGCGCCTTCATTGCACAGTTCGTCGTGGTGCGCGGTTCGATTATATGTTCAACATAGGGTATAAATTAGGAGGAAAGGCTCCGTAACTTTGTTCTTAGAGCCATGTTATTATACTGAATATTCGCATAATTGGAACGCAATTTGAGATCAGCGCTCGAAACTATCTACGACAGTAGGTGTTTCGAGCGCACGGTGATCTCATGACCACTGCGACCAAGAATCCTTCTTTTGTTAGTCTGTCTGAAGCCGGTGTTTCACTCAAAAACTGTTGTCAAAGAACAGGCTCCCATCTCGATCAGAAAGGAAACGTGTAAAATAGAAAGGAAACAAATCAGCAAATACATAATGGTCTCACACGTACAATATAGAGCCATTCTGATTCCTCGAGCGAGCGATAAAATGTGGCCGAGCACGAATCCATAAATGGTACGCTCGGACGCATCACTCGAAGTAGTTTTTTGAACGACACCTTCATTTGGTGAGTTGTGGGAAATGTGATGGGCACAAATTCGATGTTCTTGTCTCCACGATAGATCGAAAAAATAGAACATACTATATATTCGTACATATCTGTAATACAGCATCGTTCTTAAGGGAGGCCGTATTTAGTACCAAATCTACTTACTTCGCACCTTCCTCGCACATCCACTCACTTGCCTGCGGGGTGACCGCCCCACTTGGTTGGTTTATGATTTGGAAACTTTATCGTCATTATTACCATTGTCATTACTACACATTTTGAAATTATATGCGGTAAGGACAAGACAATGTCAATAAAATAGAAACAGGATATGAAAATTATGTGACGTTATCATGGACGCATCTAGGCATTTTCTGCTCATCTACTAAGGCTACTTGATGTACAAATGCGCAAAAACAATGGTCTCCATTGCTGTGATTCTATATCTTTCCCATTGCCGTGACTTCCAACTCCTTTAAGCGCATTAGGGCGATCGTCGAACTAAGAACCTCACCGTTCTTTAGGACATTTCCACCAATTTTTAATGCTCAGTTTCAGAAGTATCGTCCAGTAGTTGATATGAATGGACTGAACAAACTGGAAGCACCTCACATGAACAAGGCTCTGTCGTCCTCTCATCCCAAATGAGGAGTGATTATTTCGGCCACTTTTTCCGACCTTTCTAGACCACTTTTTTACTGTATTATCGATCGAATTACTATATACTATTACACCTTTTAGTTTTATTAGTAGTAATTTATATGACCATATATTGCGGCTGCTATGCACGTATGCTGCTTGTCATCGAATAAGCACATCGTCTCGTTTTAACTACTCTGAATTCGACCACAGCACTCCCTTCGGCTTTAAACCAAGGTTAGTTGATCTTTTCCCACGGATCTCTGTACTTAGCTAGCCCACCGGAAACACTGTACCACCACTATTTCATACACCTTCACCCCTTCCACAACTTGCACATTCCCTTTCTATTTCCTCGAGCACTGCCGCTCCTACCCCCTTCTATTGATCCTGAGTACCGGAAAGCACTGTGAGCTCTGAATACCAAAATCCTTCCTTACCTGACACCCTAGGCGCTACAGCTATTTCAAATCTGGAGCACACCAAAGTTCGAGGGTATGTTGGCGAAAGGCAGGTAAGCAAGAGAGGAAAGCATCACGTACTAATTTAGCATACATAATAGTGGGTAGCACACAGCAAACCAAGCGGCTACGCACGCTATCGCGCGCGCTAGGGGCCCTAGCCATTAGAGGCAGAGCCCCATGAGCTCCTGATTTTCACTATAAACCTTTATCGTCTGAGCCTCTTCCCTGACACTTCTGTAGCACCCATCTTTTTTGTCTCATTGGAAGCATGGAAATTTTTCGCATGAAATTTCGGATTGACCGACAAGCAGTTCAAGAAGGGTGTCTGATGTGTAATAGAAAAACAAAGCAACACTTCTGTATAACAATATTCTTCAGCAAGGGCGACGGGGATTAATCAAGCAAAAACTTCGACATTTTCTGATCTCGATTACCAAATATTTTGGTTTGGGATGTGTGTGGTCACGAAGAGTACTCCTGTGAAATGGGGCTGTGTGTGGTCACGAAAAGAACTCCAATGTATCCAAATCAAATACCTCTGCAGTCCATGTAGTCGAAGAAACTGTGTAGTTCGGGCTGTGTGAGGCCATGAACACTTACTCTGAAAGGACAGCCCTTTGGGTAGTTGTAGGGATTTACACGTCTCTACGGGGTATGCACCTGTGTGACCGGGGTTACTGTAGACTTTATTTTATGAGGTCTGAAGTTGAAGTGATGCATTTGCTTTTGTGCAGAAGGGACTACTGTGTGTGGAACAATGAATATTAACTTTTATAAAAGTTGTAGCCTAATTTTTAAAGAGTTTAGTGGCATCCGCTAGTTGTACACCTATGTGGTCAGGGTTGGTGTGAAGGACAAATGTATAAATTTTTTATCTCAGCCCCCACCCACTTCAGACTTCGAACCACATTACTTTACCTCCAGACACCTTCTTCCCGTGTCTAAAACGCTTCTGAAGAGACTTAATGATTTTGATGTAAGCCCACCTCAGTACCAATCCCGCCCACTTCTGAGATTTACCTTATTTGTTCTTTTACACCTTAACACCTTTTTAGCCGCATTCCAGAACGTTTCTGAATAGAGTATAAATTTTCGATCTAAGCTCCGCCCACTCTAGTCGAAAAGTGGCTTTCGTCTCAACGCACGCCCCGCCCAGCGTGGGCGGGGCTTCGCTAAGCTTACGCATTCCCAGCACGCATAAGGCCCTGCTCACTCTTTTTTATCTCTTTTCCTGGCCTCTGCGCCTTAATTGAATCGAGTTATGAATACATCTGAAAAGTACCGCCCATTTCGAGAAGGCTCCGCCCACAGCAGGTGGGTCTCTTCCGTCTGGTTCACTGACCACATCCTCACCTTTGAACATTTTTCCCCGTTGTCTGGTCTTTTTCGAAGCAAAAATAAGATGTTTAGTTCATGCACCGCCCATTCCGGTACATGCCCCACCCCCCGTGAACGTGGCTCCGCAAAGCTTAAACGTGCTCTGTTAATCTTGTCCCAGGCTCCACCTATCCCGAACTTGTCCCGATCTCTCCAGGCGCTTCTTTAAATGATACCGATTTCTGTGACGGACAAACAAACAAACAGACAAACAGACAAACCAAACTTGTGGGTTGTATCTAGTGCAAACAAACAAACAGACAAACAGACACACCAGACTTGTGGTTTATATATAGTATAGTAAGTAAGGATAATCGAGCAAAACTGCAAAAAGATGTCTAGACACGTCACTTATTAGGCTACATTGTTTTCATGAAATGTGATGATCTTGAATTTATTGATTATCTTGTCCATCACCTGTATCACCTGTCGTCCCGTTGATCGGCGATTTCCTCAAGCGGGCGCCAGTAACGTCTCCATTCGTCCCTGTCACGAGCCAGAGTGGTCCAGTGAATCGTTCTCGCTTCA